TTGGTAATCTATGTGACGTCACTAGTGAGGTCACCTGCCCTCCCTTTCACCTCTGCTCTTTTGGTTAGTCTGCTGTGTTCCCCTGTGAGTAGACGTGTGCGTGCATAAGACAGAAGTAAGTGTGAAAGTTTGCGTGTAAATAGTTATTTTATACTTTTAGATTTGTTTTTGTTTTAATTATATTATTTTATTATATATGTAAATACTGTAAATATTTTTTCCAACTTTATGTAAATTCTAATGTTTGTTTGTACTTGTTCTTGTTCCAGACCACACGCTGACCACACACACTAACTCACCCCACCCATAATCCACTATCCATTCCCACCTGTAACTGCCTCCATATCTACAATAAAGTCCCCCATCTGGATGTACCAGCCTTCTCCGTGCCCTTCTCTCTGACCGGAGCCCCGTTTACAGTAGGCGCTCAGATCAGCACACACCAGAGTATCCCACTCTATCACACTCAAAGTACCAGCTCCAAGACAGAAGCAGCAGAGAAGTCTCCAATCAGGAAGTGTTTGGTGACACCAGTTTGTGCGGCATTGAATTGCTTCTCTATGAAAAAGATCAGCAAATACGGTAATAGGGTTTGTTCATCTTCATAGCAGCACATGGATGAGACCATGAAGTGACTATTGTCAGTGGACACACACTAAACTAAAGTATTTCATGGTCACAGAATTGATTACGTGATACAATTGTGTAACAGTGACGGACTGGTCTACACGGGTCTTTAACTTCAACATCCTGCCGTTGGTATTTTGTTATGCTTTACTGTGCAGTTAGTTGCTGTGTGATTGCCCTGAGCTCCAAAACAACCTGTTGCTTCCAACGTGAGACTCTGATGAACTAGACACAACTGTTTTGACTATATTGCTTCTGTTTTTCCGTATTCTCCAAATAAAAAAGGTCGAGAGGGAAACTGTCCAGGTTTACTCTTTCAATTGTTGATTAGAGAACAAAACACAACACATTATTATTTTTATTATTAATGCCAGTGAAGGACATTTTGTTCATTCTGGCATCAGCAGGAACACGCAGAACCTCTCCTTCACATGATGTTCTTTGCATAATATTGTTTTTATTTTCAAATATTAGAATGAAGTGGGCTTACAAAATCACCTACACATTTGGCAGTAGACTCTTGTGTGACTTGCCAACGCATTCGCTAATTGCCCACTCTTAAGGTCGAGCTGTTTTGTTTGCGATGATGGCACGTTGCATTTAATCATTTGCCGTATTTATGCAACAGACAACATTCCCAATAAATAAATAAAACTCGGTCCCAGATAATTAGCCGGGAACAATGAGCTCTGATTAACTTCGCCACTCCAAAAGCCACCGCAGAAATTGTGCCATTTGAGCGGCTCAACAAGCGCTCCGATGGCGGGTAATCTGGTGACGCATCACAGGGGTCGGAAGGCGCCAAACGCAATCTTACAAATACAAATACTAATTAGAAACGGTTTAATCAGAATGTGAGTGCTTGGCTGATGGAGATAACATGCAACGAGCACATTTCATATGCAGTGTGTTTGGGTTTTCTCAAGACGGAGAAGGCAGAGACAGGAACTTCAAAATATCTTTGATAGAGCATTCTGTAGAATAATTGTGTTTCTGGATTTTTATTTACAATGCTAATAATGCTAAGTAATTTACATCGTGCACCAATATCAAATCTCAATGTTTTTCAGAAACACAAGTTTAAGTAGTAGCAGTAGTATAGTAGTTTGACAGGCCACAAAAATTCAGAAATGTGTCTTCCGCATTTGACCCGTTAAGACAGGGGTGTGAAAAACATAAGAGCTTGTTGGGGCCAAAAGTATAAAAGTTGTTTACTTTTGTGAACATTTTTTTAATGGCTATTTTTTACGTTACTTTGGACAAGGTTGAATATTATTTTCTAGGGACAAATACACATAGGACATAAGATACAGTACATCCTGTATAGAACAAATGTAATTATATGGTTGCTTTATTGAGAAAATAACACGCCATAGTATCGCATTACTTTAAATGCAGCAAGTTACTGTGATAAAAGACAAATGAAAATAATTGAGTTCGACATTCCAGCATTAGTACAAGCAATTTGTCAGGAGCAGTCGTTGGCATCTCCGGATGTTGACTACTTTCACTACTTTCAGGATTATTCCTGTGGTGCATGTTTTGAGTGCTGTGAGAAACTGTAGCGCCCGGAGGAAACCCAGGAAGAGAATCAGATCCATAACGAGGGCTGGGCAATATCATTTGGCTCAAAACTGATATATCTATACATTTCTATATACATCAATATGTTTGCAACCAAAAACATTCATCATTAAACCAATAAAAAAAAGTAATTCAGTCAGTCACTCATGCCAAATTGCACTTCCACAGACACACACACACACACACATGGAATTGGCCGCATAACATTCCCATTCCACAAAGACTCTACACATGTGTGCCTTTGTAATGTCCTCCAAACAGTTTTAAATCCACATGATCCTAATGGAAACTCTGCTGAAAAAAGCATCAGCTCACGTCGTGGAGACTGACAGAGGTGACACTTTTGATTCCTGTTGACACACACATGACAGAAGCACAATAACTTCCTCAGCTCAACACTGAACTTTTACAAAAACGTGATTTTCCGCATCAATCAATGATAAAATATACAATATTTAGAGCATTAAAATGGTCATCACATTTGAGAAGAACTATCATCAGTTTTAAGATGCAATAAGATTTCCCTTAAGATGGTTCTAATGAATTGGAAAATAACATTGGCATTGCCTGCTGTTCACGAATGCACATCCATCAAAGTAAAAGATGGAGGTGCAAGCAATTTATTTAGAGGCCTGCGTTTGATTTGAAACAAGAAAATTGCCCCTTTTTTGAACAGTTCCTTACTATATGATATTGCATCAAGTGACCATAAAATCAAACCCTACTGCTGGTAGGTAGGTATGTAACTTGAGAAATTGGCAATGTTTTTATACAGATTAAATGTTTGCTCAATGTCCATCCATGAGACATATTTGAGACAGATGACTCCAACATAGGACTGTGGTACAATGACTGAGATAATGTCTTAGGTTCTACTTTAGTGAGACTTGTTATCGAAGAATACATCTTGCATATAGACAAGAGTGGTAAACATACGCCCCCTAGTGAGCATAAATAGTACTGAAACTTGGCCTAACTAACTTTAAAAAAATATTGTTTGGTGGATATCAGACTGTAAACATGCTTATGCCAATATCACAACGGTTAATTTTTCAATCATCATTTTCAAGCCTCACGAACAAACTCGTCATAAGGATAATGTGGTTCATTAAAGTCCAATCCACGCTCAGTATGGACAACTCTCACGTACCACCACTAAACTAACAAATAAATAAAGAGGCAACATAACCGCTACACTTTGAGGAGATCCGTCATCATTACGGAGCGGTGACACGGGCGGTGCTGGACCCGGCTGCAGCGCTCCACTGGCCACACGTCCCCCCTCACCGGCTGCACACGCACGCACACACTGCATCATCATTAAAAATAAGGGGGAGAACAAAGTGACACTTGTTATAGCTTTTATCAGAAATAACATTAATGTTTGTGTTGAAATTAATTGTTTTACTGATCGCTTCTCTATTTACATATCTCTTTACACAGTGTATTGTGAATTGTCCATTCTACTTCTATGTGTCCATCACCAATTTACACTCACACCTGATTGATTCTAGTAAATGTGGGAGTCTTGCCTAAAGAATCGGGGCAAGCTATAGGGGGGTATAGAACAATTAGGAGGAAAACAGGCTTTATTTCTAACTGAATCGTATCAAATTGAAAGTGTCGAGTATCCAGGTATGGATTGAAGTACCATATCAGCAAACTCTAAAAGATACCCAGCCCTTCTAAAGACACACGTTTTCACACAGAGCACTTGGTATTCCCAGCAGTCTCCCATCACAGTGACAGGTACGGCCACAAGAATTCAATTTCAGAATTTACACTGAGACAACAAAGCTCTGCAATAGTTCTGATCGACTTCAGTCTACTTCATGAGACTAGTATTATGTTATATTGACAAAGGTATTCAATTAACTCAATGACTACCATCTGTCGGACTGGGGATTACAGGACAATAAAAATAGCTTGAAACAAACTTATTTTTGCTGATGAAAGCAGACAATCCAGTCATTCAGAATCTGGTTTCATATTTCAGTCTTAGGAAATAATATTCTGTGGGTCTTGAGAATCAGTGAAATCATCATAAATGGCTGGCAGTCAATGAGTTAACTACAATTGTGGCCCCTCAGACCTTTGAAGCTAAGCAGGGCAGGGCATGGATAGTACTGTAATGGGGGACTTCTGGGAACATCAGGTGGTCACAGTGGAGCAGCCAAACTGTTGTTGTGTCCTCATAGGCAAGACACTTCACACACATTGTCTGAAATGAGTCTGGTGTGTGTGAATGAATGAAAATGCTCGGAGGTTATTATGGCAGACACTGGTTGCCTCACTTGAAATGAAACCAGAAGCTTTATTGTACAGGATTGTTGCATTATCATTGTGTAAATTTGAGTTTAAAACATTTTCAGCATTATGCAGATAAAAATACTATTATCAATAAGACAAAATAAGACAGAGATAACGAGAACAATTTATTTTGCCTCAACCGTCTGCAGTCCAAACACCAACGCACTCAAACAGGGCCATATTTTCTAGCGTTCGCATTGTCCTCCACACTTACCCCATGGTGCAGGAACCAGGGAGGCTGTTTTGTGCTGGTCTGATCAGAGAGACTTGGGACAGCTGTGGTGCACTGATTGGTGACACCTGTTTGTGAAGCGGTGGTGCCAGAAAGCAACTCATTTATTTATTATTTAGGCTCGTGGTGCTTGCCTGAATACACTGTCTGTTACACATACACAGGATCTTTCTTGTTGGAGGACGTCTGCCTCTGAGAAGTCTGCTGTCAAGAGCTGCAGAGGCTGGTGATTGTTCAAGCTCTCGGTATGGCAGTTGTTCTCCACTTGACAAGGTATGGTTTTGGCTATGAGTCTTACTTCATTTTAAAGCTGGGGTACCCAACATTACTTTTTCCAATGTGGTACGTGATGCTTGTCCCAACAGAAAGTCTTGTAAAAGTAAAATGAGAAAATCAGACTTGCAGAATCAATCTTGCTAAATGTACTAGTATCACTCTTCCATCTGAAAAATCTAATCTAAATGTGGGACAAGCATTTAAAAACTAGTTCTGGAAATAATCCTTTTAAGCGCAAGGAACTAATAGCATGGATTTTTGTTAAGTTTGATACCCCAGCTTGTCATTGTGGATGTTTTATATTTGTAACTATCTTTTTACAACTTTGATTTTGGCTTATGTTCACAGTATTTTGCTGAGCTGTTGGTTATCTGACATTAAGTTTGCTGAAGCTTATCCAACCGGTATGTGTCTTTACAACTATGTCTATTATAATTTGATATTTTAATTTGAACAAGGATAGTGCACATTTCAAATGATTTAGTAGACTAGTTTATTTTACAATCCATACACAGGACAATGAAGTTCTTTTACAGGAGGAAATATTAAAGTTTATAGCTTAGGTCAGAGGTTTGCTGATACCAGACAAAGAGAACAATCCCCTGGAACCTTATTTGAACTACCATGAGGAGGAAGAAGGCACTGAATATTGTGTACGTATGAGTGGTCAATTTTATTTTAATTCTTTGGCTTTCTTGCAGCCTATGATAAGGCTCCTTCTGAAGCATGGCCGAGTTTACGGAGTTGGAGTTCTTCCTGGAAAACTGAAAGCCAGAATGTTCCTAGCCAAAAGCTAAGTCCCTTGCTACCCCGGTCTCAAAAACCTGGAAAAAGTGCAGGAGGCGGCAAAGTACCAGCCGAAAAGTCTAAAATGCGTGACCAAATGGCCAGTCCCCGCGCATTTCAGATAAGCATAGAAGCGGCTCCCAGCACTGGTCATGGGGACAAGAACGAAGGACATGACTATCCTCACCCTCATGGGCCTAGTCAATATCACCACCAGAACCGGTTGGAAAGTCAGAGTAGATATTCTTCACAGGCAGGTCTTTACAAGAATCCTGGAAAAGATTCTTCCAAACCTGGCTTTCATTTCAGCATTTCTCTAACACAACCTACAACTACTGCAGCACCTAAACCCCCAGGTGTAGTCCGTGTCAATGCTGGATTTTCTCATTCAGGAACAAGATTCAATCACCCATATGACCCAGTGTCAGAAGACAGAAAACCAGCAAACAAGATTGTAAACTTTTTTTCAACTTTATTTGACCAGAAAGGACAAGAGCACACTCGGGCACAACACAAGCACGTTTATGTCCAACCACCGGCACCACAGCAGTATTCAGGGCATTCTGGCACCCATTACCAAAACCCCACCGACCACTGGAGCGGGCACGTGTCTGGTTCAACAGAGGCAGAAAGTGGTGTTCGCAAACCCGTCCATCACACTGTCTCAAATTCGGTGCACCCTGCTCCTCAGTGGTACCCAGTCACCAGTCTGCCTCCTGACAAAGACGAGGTTATAAACGAGGTGTTGCAGTATGCTAGAAATATAAATGGCCAGTTAATGATTCCTCTAGAAAAATGCCCTGGATTTGAGAGGATTTTAGAATATTTAAATCACCAGCACCACCACCACAAAAAACATCACCATTGGGGTCATTGGCAGCATCATGGACGCCCCTATCCACACCACCAGGGTCATGTCCAACAACATTCTGGTTACGGGCACCATGATCATCACCATCACAATCACCATGGGCCAAGGCCAAAACCAGACTATACACAGTTTTCTGTAAATGTGCAAGGTTCTGGAGTAAATCGTCAAGAACCGGGCGGCCATTTTGGACGCAGGGACTATGATGTCGGCTTTAATGCAAATGTTGATGTTCTCAAGCCACACTCTCGTAGTCAAGGCAACGTCCATTATGTACGAACAGGAAGGCGCTCTCGCTGATCCCATTCAGCGGCTCCAGACACAGTGAGTACACAAGTATTGTTAGTGTTTTAACATTTTGGCAAATACCCTAATATTTTTATTTTTGTTTGCAGGTTCCAGAAGGAGATTCGACCTGCTTTTTCTACAAATAAAAGAAAATTGTATAGTTCTGTCTCCCTTGTCACTGAATAAACATCTTGTATAGTTAATGATTGCCATAAAGCCAATACTGACACCAGTGCGCATCAAAAGTGCAAGTTGGAAACCAAAAAGTTGCTGTCCCCCTTTAACCAATTCATTTGAGTAAAACTATGCGTTTTATTTTCTACAGATATACATGTGGGTCTTAACAATCCATGCAATGCTTTTGAAGGTTTGGCGGTATAATTTGGCAGCCGTTATAAACAAGTATTTCCTTTGGCTTGACCTCATATTTTATGCCCTTGGTTTATAAATATAGTAATGGCTGCATTTCAGACTCACTTGTCAAGATGGTTTACACATTACTGTAAATGACTATGCAGATGACAATCTTGCTCATAAGGGATAAATAATGGAGTAGAAGAGGGAGACAATTGTTTTTTTTTTTTTTTGTTATTTACAAAACGAAGACTGCCGAATTTGTAATCCAAAAAGGCAGGTTGTGATATACAGTATACACTGCTCACAAAAACTTAGGGCACACTCAAACAATGTAACTCCAAGTCAGTCTGATATCCCAGAAATGTGACTATCATCTGGAACATCATGTCTCGGTCCATCCATCAATGACACGTTGCACCACCGACTGTCCAGGAGCTGACTGATGCTCTAATCCAGGTCTGGGAGGAGATCCCTCAGGAGAACCTCCGTGGTCTCATCAGGAGCATGCCCAGGCGTCGTAGGCAGTGCATTCAGGCACGTGGAGGCCACACACACTACTGAGGATGATAGACTCGTTTTGAGGAATTTCTACAGAATTTGGATCAACCAGTTTCCTCATTTGCCACTTTGATTTTGACTTTAATTTTGGATCCAGACCTCCAGGGCGTGAGAATTTGATTTCCATTAATCATGTTATTTTGTTCTCAACACACTATGAATAAAGATTTTCATCCAAAAAATTGAATTGACATCTAAGATGTGTTTCTTGAGTGTGCCCTAAGTTTTTGTGAGCAGTGTATTATGTATATATTTCCCAAACACTGATGTGAGCCTCTTACCATGGCACAAAATCTGTATCATCAAACTCTGGTCAGCATTAACCTGGATGGATCAAAACCCCACAGGACCTGTATACCTCCAGAGCACAACACCACCTGTTCAGGAGGTGACGATGGGACCCCTGAATCTGGCCTCTCTCATACCTTTTTGTAATTGTCTTTTCAAATGTGTTCCTTGCTGATCCAGGACTTTTAAGCACATGGATATTCACATTTATAAACAATGGTCATCCCCTCCTTGGACCAATGGAATCTGATCTGTTTTGGCAAATTTATAACTTTCTAGAGTCCTGAGACAAATAGACACGCACACTAGTCACTTATTTTAATTGTATCTAAAATAACTAGCGCAAAAGTACCTTTTTCACTTTTTAACATTTTAGACTGACTCATTGCACACGCTGAGTGATCCTATTTATCCCAAATGGAGCATTCAAATGTCTCCTTTTAAGTTTATCTTATCAAACACTGTTGTGATTCAGGGCTTTTCAAAATTTAAATGAATTGAACTGAATTATGGCTCTATGTGAGAGTTCCTGATTTATTTATAACCCCCAAATTAAAAGTGTTTGAGAGATACCTTTTGAGTACAATTTACAATTGAAATTGGTTATAGGGTGAAACTAAATACTATTTTGTTGTGTGCAGATGTTATAGCTTTATTTCCAACAGAAAACGTTGGGTTTGTTCATGTTCGTAGTTTATTCTTTAACATTTCAAGCACAACCTGGATTAGTCTTGCTCCCTGCACAGGATTTATGGCTTTACTGATTTGGACTCAAAACCATGTTCTGCTATAAATTGGGGCTTTTGGGAAATGTTAAAATTAAATAATAAAAAAGCTTCCTGGTCTGCAGACTATAACTCCAAGGTCAAGTTGTTTTGTCCCCATCATTGGTCAACTACACCCTCAGAGGAGATTATTCATTGACTCGTTTAACAAGCACATGCAAGAAAGAAAGCATTTAAGAACAAGTCATTAAAGAGTTGTTTCACAGAACCGTCCTTTGATATCGGCCTAATCAGTGCTTTCCTCTGAGTAATGTGTTCTATGGCCTCTCCTGCACTGACCCCTGTGTCCTGTAGATGTAGAAGAGATTATGACTTCTTGTAATGGCCCATGTTTGAGTATTCACTGGAAAGCACTATATGGCTTTGGGCCCTTCCTGCTTCATGAAGTAAAATATAAAGCTGCTTGTCCGCCCTCCTCCGTGAATCACAGACACAACCACTGCCGACACGTGGAGCTTAGAAATAACAATACACTTTAGATTCATTTTAACTTTGAATTCCTCTTGGAGTAAATGGAGATACCAGTGCAGAGTGATGGTGTAAACCTACGTGCGTTCAGGCCCTCAGTCGCGGCTAACGGGAACGCCGCCTCTTCGTTGGGGGTGTCGGAGTTCGGATACTTGAGCGATGGCTGCAGCCTGGCGTCCAGCGCAACGCCCGGGTACGACACTCTGGACGCTCCGCCGCACTATGACTTCTACGCCAACACTGAGGTGTGGGGGAGACGCAGGAAGTTCAGGCCGTCGTTGTACGAGCTCTACTCCAACCCTAAGGTCAGCACGACAGCAGCCTCATAAAAGAGGTTTTATAGAACAAATATAATTGTTCAACATGAATATGAAGCCCTGTTTCCACCAGCCAGCTTAGGTTGCTAGGACACCATATGCTACAGTGCAAAAACTAGTACATTTTTCTGAAAACATTCTTTTAACAAGATTCGCCAATGGGACAAGCCGTTTCTTACACTATTGCAAACAACAACACAACCAGGTACAAGTAGAATAGAGTTGGGCCAAGTGGGGCTGGTGGAAATGGGGCTTCATATATCCCTGGCAACCTGACAAAACTGATAATAAAATACATTCATGAACAAATCTACCTCATAGATGGGCTAGCTAAACATTAGGGTTGCTATCAGATATTAATCAATAGTAAAACTAGTACCAAAAGCAGAAACTAATTTGATCAAGTACTAAATACTAAATGAAAATGACAAAGAAAAAAATTGATATTTCTTGTGTCTTTTTCTAATATATCAAAAGTATCTTGTGGCCCAATAGAATCTATTATTTCAAGTTAAATTGTTGTGGTATCAAAATTGGAAGTGATATCTAGCAGTCTTGAAACTGAGTCGGACATAGTATTGTGACCACACTTCTATCCATGCGTGTCAATGGTTTCAAGAGAGGTCCTGTAGGCCGAGTTCAAATAAAACCCAGCCAAATAAACAAAAAAGCTTGACCCAAATTGTAAAAGGGTAATGTTAATATTGTGAATTATATTTATATTATTATGCACATAAATTGGAATTTATGTCTTGATCATGTTCATGCACTGTGTTCAATAATTTTGGCTCAACTGTGACATGTAGTAAAGCTTTTGGCAATTATCATTATTTGAGTAAATCTAAGTTATGAACATATGGATCAAAACTGGGAAGTGTTGTTTTCATTCTATCTACTTAGAACAAACTGTTGATTACATATCTTTATCATCATCATTGATTATTGTTCAAAATACTAAATCTACTTCTCTATTGTTGCGTCATGGCCATTATTGTTCATTTATGTGGATTTCACAAAAGACAAATGTTGTTTTAGGATGACTCCAGGCCCCCTCAATATGAGGACTCCTCCGTGGGACATTTGGACGGAGGGGAAACTACTGACGAGGAAGACGAGGAAGAGGAGCAGAAGGAGCCACCAGCTGAACCCACTCGCTTTGGATGGGTTCAGGGGGTCCTGGTAAAAGAAGAACAACTATCTTCTGCTAGAGATTATTTATTGTCTATTATATTTTACACTTTTATATCGGGCTCATGTTTCATCACAACAAAACACATTAAGTACAACAACAATAAGTACAACAATAATTTTATATTCAAACAATTCTGAAGCCAAATTATTAAGATGTGAAAGTGGCACCAGATTATATTCACATTTTAGATGACAATGTTTAACAGCTGTATTTTGTTTGTTTTTAAAAGTAATTGGTCCTTTGATATTACATTCAAAGAGCCAGATTCCAGTTTTTGCAGTTTTTCCAAGTTTTTTTAAAAGTATTTTATAAATACATTTATTACAATGTTGCTCACTTCTGACAGACGGCAAAAGCCAACCTCAAATAAAAGTGATTCAATCCATTCTTTCAAGAAGGATGTTTAAGTGACACTTCAACATTTTCTTTGGCTATTATAATTACAATCAGACTATTTACGTTGTCATTTCATGTTTTCATGCTTTAGTAGAAAATATACATCCTTCCTCTGGTGTAACTCCCTATGCCACCACTAGAAGGTAGAATAAGGAGGGTTTTTATTAATTTTTAAATTTTCAAATAATTGATGGGCAATTTTTTTTTCCAAACCGTAGTGGTGCAGTGACATCATACTTTTACTGAAGACTGAAACAGGAGCTTTTAATGAACAATTTAAATAGTTTAGGAAGGTTCATTGTGACTTCTAAATAGAATAAGAAACATTTCAAGGGAATAACATCACAAACTTACTATTGTCTGGTAGAAGAACCCAACAAAATAACATGTTTGTGCCACAAGTTCTTGATATCAGTGCGGATGAATCTGAGAACAAAAAAAAAAATTGGTCTCCTTGAAGGGAAAATGTATTGTATTTGCCTTAATGAATCAGAATCAGATATTTTCCACGGTTATTGTACGAAACAGGATGTCACAAACTAGGAATTTGGTTTGGCTCACGAAGCAAAGTTATAAATGTCGATATAAGGCATGCATAAATATCTTCATAAAATGTCTTGAAATGACTATTATAGACAAGTGCACTAAGTTACACACAATAGACATTTAACAGTGCAGCAAAGTGATGCTAGAGCTGCTCTGTAATGTATTTGCTCGACTATAGATTCGATGCATGCTGAACATCTGGGGCGTCATCCTTTACCTCCGTCTGCCTTGGATTACAGCTCAAGCAGGAATTGGTACGTGCAAAAAGTAATGAAGGATTTCTGGTGATTGTTGCTGATAATTTACTTGTTTTTGGCGTTGTGTTGTGTAGGCTTAACCTGGGTGATCATTCTGCTGTCTTCCACGATAACAGGGATCACAGGCCTCTCTACTTCAGCCATCGCAACCAACGGAAAAGTTAAAGGAGGTGGGATCTGTCTTTAACTCAAAGAATGCATATGTTATATTCAGGCGTGTCAAACTCATTTTGGTCCGAGGCCGAATAAAAAAAATAGGAACTGATTAGGGGGCCGAAAGAATACAAGGGGTTTCCTTTTCTTGTTATAGTTTTTTACATTATGAAGGCATTTTGACATATATGGTAACATATTGCTATCTAATACTAATAGTATTTTATGTGTAATTTTTTTAGATTTAATCAAAACTGGACCAAATATTAAGTTAAACAGATTGTTTTATATTTAAATACTTAATTTCTAATGATTTGTTGCGTTAAAATTTGTACATGGCTCGGTAGACCATAACCACCAATGCTCCAAGTTAATAATAATGATTTCAGAGGCCCCTAGAAATTGTCTTGCGGTGTTTTAATAATCCTGATATGGTTCCCTCCAGGTGGGACATACTTCCTGATCAGCCGCAGTTTGGGTCCAGAGCTGGGAGGGTCCATTGGTCTCATCTTTGCCTTTGCCAATGCAGTTGCCGTGGCGATGCACACTGTGGGGTTTGCAGAGACTGTTACAGACCTCATGGGTGTAAGTGAAGTCTGCTCTGATGATTGTAAATGCTTGTTGGTTTTTGTGGAATCACAAGTTTCTTTGTAGGAACATGGAGCTGTCATGGTGGATAAAATAAATGACATTCGAATCATTGGCATCCTCACCGTGACCTTTCTGTTGTGCATCTCTCTGGCCGGTATGGCTTGGGAATCAAAGGTAGGCAGAATGTTGGCATTTAACCCATCGGCCAGTCGCACCACTTTCTTTAATTATCATAACTGTATCTCCATTGTGAGATCAATAAAGTAACAGCATATTGTGGTCGTATTGTTCAGACCAACGCTTTACTTTTACAAGAGTCTTTATTATGAGTTATGTCCCTTTGTTTCAGGCCCAGGTTGTGTTCTTTCTCGTTATTATGATTTCCTTTGCCAGTTACATTGTTGGGACATTCATGCCTGCAAGTCCTCAGAAGCAGGCCAAAGGTTTCTTCAGTTACAAAGGTAGACCTGATCCATTGCAAACTACTGTATATGTCATAGTTTGAGATGAGTTCAATTATCTCTGGTCTTTTACAGTTGACATCTTTAGAGAAAACTTTGTGCCCGGCTGGAGAGGAAGAGAGGGTAGTTTCTTTGGCATGTTTTCCATTTTCTTTCCTTCAGCCACTGGGATTCTGGCAGGAGCAAACATTTCTGGAGATCTCAAGGTGTGAAAGCATTTTTCAATGTGCTGACAATGTATTTCCCCTCCCCAAACTAATAAGACATTTGTCCCGCTAGAATCCAACAGTGGCCATCCCTAAAGGGACCCTTTCTGCTATTTTCTTTACCACTCTGTCATATCTCATCATATCAGTCACCATAGGTAAGTATCAGCAGAAAACTGGTCTGAAAAGTGTGAAAGCTCACTCATTGTGAGATCAATAAAGTGTATCTTATCTTGTTAAATATAAAGGAACATAGATTATTGAGTTGTGTTGTCATAGGTTCTTGTGTGGTGCGTGATGCCTCGGGTGTGTTGAATGACACCTTGGCCAACTCCTCCAGTCCTGCGTCTTGCGTGGGCCCGGGCTGTCAGTACGGCTGGGACTTTTCTGAGTGCATCCAGAATGGGACGTGCACATTTGGCCTCATGAACTACTACCAGGTACATTTTTAAATCATACTTTGTTAAACAGTCTTTTCATTTGTTTTATTGTTTTTGTAATAGCATGTTTACCGATTTAAACATCATTTTGTGCATATGTGTTGAACCATGTTTGTTTGTTCATTGTTTATCCTTAAGTATATTTTTTAAACATAAAACACATTCATGTTTTTGTTTCCAGTCGATGAGCATGGTCTCTGCCTTCGCCCCCCTCATCACTGCTGGTATCTTCGGAGCCACGCTGTCCTCCGCTCTGGCCTGTCTGGTTTCTGCTCCAAAAGTCTTCCAGGTCAGTCACACACCACAAGATCCAAGAATTATACAAAAGTTTAATTGCGTCCTTTTTTCATTTTAGTGTCTATGTAAAGACAGACTCTATCCTCTTATTGGATTTTTTGGGAAAGGCTACGGTAAGAATGACGAACCCCTTCGAGGGTATTTGCTGACATACCTCATCGCATCCTGTTTTATTCTAATAGGTAAGGCAATAAATAAAATGATAAGATATTGTTTTTCTGTGTTACGTATATGTATGATATACCACAAATAACAGTGGCTCAGTTGGTAGAGCATTGGCCTTTGAGCCTGAAGGTAAGACCTACGTTACGACTCCCACTGATGACTGCTGTCATGTGTTTTTGGGCAAGACACTTAACCCCACTTTGCCTGAAGCCCCCACTGAAAGATGTAATATTGTCAAACCCTTAACTCATATATGCAATCTCTCTCTCCAGTCGGGATGTTTCCCAAATAAGATGAAAATAGCTAAAGTCATACCAGTATTTAAAAATGGAAATAAACATTGTTTCACAAATTACAGACCAATCTCTCTATTACCACAGTTCTCAAAAGTCTTGGAAAGAATTTTCATCTCTCGGTTGGAAACATTTCTTGACAAACATGACCTCTTAAACAACTGGATTCAGAGGAAAAAGAACCACTTCAATGGCCATAACTGAAGCAATAGAAGAAATAACAAATTCTTTGGATCAGAAATGACACACTATAGGAATCTTTATTGACTTAAAAAAAAGCCTTTGATACAATAAATCACTCAATGCTGCTGGATAAATTACAAAAATATGGTATCAGGGGTGTCGCTGGAGAATGGCTCTGTGATTATTTAACTGGTAGAGTACAGTTTGTTCACATGGGGGATCATGTCTCTGAAAATCTTGGCATTACTTGTGGTGTCCCCCAGGGGTCAGTGTTGGGTCCCATGCTGTTTAACCTCTATAATATCAATGACATATTCGAAGTATGTCACTAAAACTAGTTCTTTTTGCGGATGACACTAGCATTTTTTGTAGTAGTCCTGACTGCAAACAACTTATTGATACTGTGGATGTTGAACTGACCAAAATAAAAACATGGATGGATGCCAACAAACTGTCCCTGAACCTAAATAAAACAAAGGCAATGATTTTCGGTTATGCAAAGAAAAATACAGAGTTTAAAATTAATATTGATGGAGTTGAAATTGAAAATGTTGCTGAAAATAAATTCTTAGGTGTAATCATGGATAACAAATTGTCATGGAAAGCCCATATAAGTTATGTGACGACAAAAATAGCTAAAAACATCTCAATCATGAATAAAGTGAAACATTATCTTGATTTTCATGCACTACACACACTATATTGTTCATTGGTATTACCCTACCTAACATACTGTGTTGAGGTGTGGGGTAACAACTACCAATGTTCAACAACACCCTTATTCTTATTGCAGAAACGAGCTGTGCGGATCATTCATAAAACAAGCTACTTGCATCACACTCACAAACTTTTTCTTAAATCTAAAATACTAAAATTCCCAGACCTTGTAAAATTTAACACCGCCATCATGTTATTCAAGGCATTTCACAAATTGTTACCTCATAACATACAAACATATTTTGTGCCTAAAGAAAAAAACTATAATCTAAGAGGTCTTGGACATTTTACACTTCCCAAATTTCGATACCCGTAAAAGTTTCTGTGTGACTGTGTGTGGTGTCAAACTGTGGAATGCTTTGGATCCTAAATTAATGCAATGCCAAGATATTCACAGATTTAAGACATTATATAAAAACAATGTCTGGTCCGAATACAGAGAGATTATGACTTGAATGTATTTCTCTTCTTTTCCCTTGACTCATGTTGGCATGTACTTGCTCTTGTTAATACATTTTGGAGTATGTTTCCTTACCATTGCAGGTATTTGCTGTTCATTACCATTGTTGGTATTTCTTTTTTTAAATTGTTTTTGCATGCAGTTTCTTTTTATTTTTTTATTATTATTATTTTTTACATTTGTCCCTGATGACATTTTCAATAACTAATTTTGCTTATGAACAATATGTTTAAGATTTTGATATCTGTGCTAAATTTACGTTGGAGCTAAAACCGGAGCCTTTACTTTACTTTACCCTTGTAATGACTGAAGTAATTAGGGGTGGGATTAAATAAGTGTTCACTTCTTCCCACTCGTTTTCGAGCATCCATAAGTGTTATGTTAGTATCACTCACTCTTTTTGTTATTACTCCTTTGTTATATTTTGTACATGTACCTAAGTTGCTTGAACTAATTATTTCTATGCCCGCTTACTTGCTCGGAATGAATAAATAAAAATAAAGATCTCAGCTCCGTGCTATGTGTACTGGGTCTAGCTCTGACTGCCACCCCCTCGACCAAGAAATGGATTAAGGGGAAGAAAATGGATGGATGGATAGACCACAAATAAAAACACTACACATAATTAACCAGCCACTCCATATTTTTGTATTTGTTTTGATTATGTTTCTGTTTTGATGTTTAAAGCTGGGGTACCTAACTTTTGATTCATTATACAATTAGTTTGTCTAGACAGAAATAGTCTTGCAAAAGTAGCATTTCGTGAACACATGTGAAAACTAGAGATGTAACCAAACTTTAATGAGAGGGAGGAACTATTCAGATGGATTGTGATTCTATCGTCAAATGTTTGTGGTTCGAAAGTTAGGCACCCCAGCTTTAATCTGATGACACAAATGATCTCTGTCCCGTAGCTGAGCTGAACACCATTGCTCCAATCATCTCCAACTTTTTCCTCTGCTCTTACACGCTCATCAACTTCAGCTGTTTCCACGCTTCAATCACCAACTCCCCAGGTACGACACATATGATTTGACATTCTAAACAATGGGTGTCAAAATCAAGGCCCGCGGGTAATATCCGGCCCACAAATTAATTATCCGGGCCCCCGGGATGATTTTTGATTAGTAAATCAAAAATCGTCCCTGCACAGAGCCTTAAGAAAATATTAGATTATTAATTTAATGTTCAGGACATGTGTTTTCTCTTTGAAGGAAGTTTGTTTTTGTCTGTGAGCCTGTTTGAAAATGTTTTACTGACAGAGTCGAACAAAAATATTGGATTATTCATTTAGTCATTAAAATACGGTCCACTGTGTTCGGTCTTGGTTCAATAGGTTATGTGCAATCATTTTGATATGTTTTAATACACATTGAACCAGTCCGGCCCTCGGCTTGTAGCAAATTTGTTTTTTTTATCTGATGTATTTGCCTTTGACTGCCCTGTTCTAACATCTAAACTAATTGGGTTTTTGGTTGCTAGGCTGGCGCCCTTCGTTCCGATTCTACAATAAGTGGCTGTCCTTGTTGGGGTCTGTGTGTTGTGTGGTCATTATGTTTCTCTTGACCTGGTGGGCCGCTCTCATCGCCTTCGGAATAGTCTTCTTTCTGCTGGGATACACTCTCTACAAGAAACCTGGTACATCTGTTATATCACCGTGTTTATGCCTTGCTTCGTAAATACCAAAGTTTTATCCTAAACAAACTTTTTTTTTCTGTCTAGATGTGAATTGGGGCTCTTCGGTACAGGCCAGTTCCTACAGCATTGCTCTGAATCAGTGTGTGGGCCTCAACCAGGTGGAAGACCATGTGAAAAACTACAGGCAGGTCATTTTCTGCAAAGAAAAGCAATTATTGAATGAAAAAATGTTATAAGAAAGGATTGTGGTGTCCGTCAGGCCTCAGTGTCTGGTGCTGACGGGACCTCCCAGCAGTCGCCCCGGTCTTGTTGACCTGGTCAGCTGTTTCACTAAAAGCCTCAGTCTGATGATGTGTGCCAATGTTGTGGTAAGTCCTGATTTAAAACATGGTTGTATTGGTGTCAGTATCCCAAGGGTAATGTTCTGTTGTGATGATTATTGCAGTCTGGCCCCGGCCCTTCTGTGGTGCAGAAAGAAACCAGTGAGAAACATGTGGCGTGGCTGAACACCCGAAAGGTCAAGTCTTTCTACAGAGAAGTGGCGTCTTCAGACCTGCGTACGGGGGTCAACGTCTTAATGCAGGTCTCGTTCACTATAAAACATCAACTCAAAACACGGAGCAACAATCGTGGTTCCATTATATGTAGTAGTATATACTCAAGTACAGATGTGTTTTAAAAAGCATGAAAAGTGCACTACTTGATAAAAATGCACTCACTGACTTCAATTCAATTCAAGTCCATTTATAATAGAATACCCTAGATTATTCTAAATCTCCACAGCAGATTTCTCGGAGGATTTTACAGTGTTGTTGATTCCTCATCTACAGATTAGAGAAATGAACACAGAAAATACTATAACAACAAACACTTAGGAGCAATTGGTCCATAGGGGGCAGATGTCCATAAACGTCCTCAAATGTACAGGATCATCACTGTCCTTCATCCCTCCTGCATATGCAAGGAACGGCTCAAAAACCCAGTGGGAAAAATCAATCAATCAATCAACGTTTATTTGAAGAGCGCCTTTCCTACACGGCAACACAAAGCGCCTCACAACACACATCATATCCAGCAAATCATAAACATAAAAATCTACATATACATAAAAAACACAAGAAATATTAAAAACAAAATGAAATCACAAGTAATTAAAAACCATAAAACATTAAAAACACACACAATGGGATTAAAATAATAAATAGACACAATGCATTAAAAAGAGTAAATTTAAAATATAAAAAAGCATATAAATGTAAAATATGAAAAAGGGGGGATACCTCGAGAAGGCCCACATTGAGAGAGGGGTCCGCCCCCGCAGATATTGCATCTATAAACTGTACATCTATGTATTTAAACTAAAATGTATTCATATCCAAGCAAATGCATTAAAGAACAGTTTTTAATACATTAGTTTTGGACTAGCACAGAAAGCACTCTTCCTTTCATCATAGTCGTACTCAGTCCAGTCTTTTGGGACATATTTTCCAGGGGGCTGGACTGGGCCGCATCAGGCCAAACGTGCTGCTGTTGGGCTTTAAGACGCTCTGGCGCAACGACCCTCCTCAGGCCGCTCATGATTACATCGGAATCCTGCAGTGAGTAGGGGCAGAAAGTCTCCACTCAGATTTGAAACTCATTCTTACAGCGTGTTTGTGGCTTTGTACCTGTGTCGCTGAACAATGTGATTACGTTGCAGCGATGCATTTGAGCTGCAGTACGGAGTCTGTGTCCTGAGGATGAAGGACGGACTGGACATTTCAAAAACACTTCATTCTCACAGTATGGGATTGTTTTCAACTGAGCATGAGAAAATATATAACTTCTATGAATCGAGGTTGAAGAAATGTGTGTCTTTATAGTTAATCCTGCCTTTGACGAGGGGCCTGAACGTGTCTGCAGCACATTGTCTCGAGCTCAAGTTCAAACCAACTCTGTTTGTAAGTACTTTATACCAGTGTTTTTCAACCTGTGTGCCGTGGCCTGTTTGTATGCCTTGAGACGTTGCATGGTGTGCCTTTGGAAATAGACAGACAGATGGATAGATAAATTGTTCCAATGGCTTTTACGGTAATGAAATTACATTTTTTAATATTTTTTGCTGTAGTGTGTTTTTTGCTACTGCTTTGCATTTTATAATTGTATATTTTTGTATCTATTTTCTGGTCCAAATAATGTGAAAAGAAAACAATGTGAGAAGATTAGAAAAAATGATTGTGCATGTTTGATTTTCCATATAATACACTTTGATGAGAAGGTTCAAAAAGGTTGGGGAACACTGCTTTATACAGTCATAAAGATGACGTAATAACAAAAATGTCTGCTATCTTTATTTTAGCCACAATCTCCAGCTCCCCCGAACCTCTGCCAACAACAGTCTTCCAGAAAAAACAAGCAAAAAAGACCATAGACGTGTACTGGTTATGTGATGATGGAGGTGAGGTTCATGTGACATCAATGTACATGTACGTAATATAATATGAATTAATATATTATACTTAATCCTGCCCCGGTCCCTGTGTGAATGGGCGAGTGGTTCAATAGGCTCTTTATAAACATACACCTGCAGAACATTTCAATAAACAAAAATGCTTACAACAAACCCTCTTTTACATATTTTCATCACATAAATACATCAGTGCATCAGTTTTTATGTTGTCCTTCTACATCACCATGTAAATACATATTTTATTGTAATTGTGTGTGAATTGTGTACAGGCCTTATCCTCCTGCTGCCCTACCTGCTGACTCGTAGGAAGCGCTGGTCCAAGTGCACGGTCCGAGTCTTCGTCGGTGGTTTGCTGGAAAGGAAAGAAGAGCAGAAACAGGAGTAAGAACCATTTGTCATATAGTAACCAAAACGACAAGAAGTTTTTAAGCCAGGTCCTCTGCCTCTGAAGTTAAGCAGGGCTGAACCTGGTCAGTACTGTGATGGAGGATGGCCTGTGTGTGATTGGTTGGTGGTGGTTGGAGAGGCCAATGGCACATACTGGTTGCCGCGCTTCTATCAGTCTGCCCCAAGCCTGCTACAGCATTTGATTGATGAAATTTAAATATATTTTTTGTATGTATTTAGGCATAATTTCAGTCTTTATTCATACAGTGTAATAAAATAGCTAATTTAGAAAGTGATACAATTAACAGTTAATTTAACAAAAGATATGAAAGAAATTAAATAAAGGTTTCTACTGTTTAATAAAAGGTCTGATGATTAATATTGTGATGGATTTTTTTAAATTATTATTTCAGAGTTCTGGCATTAATCAAGAAATTCCGACTTGGCTTCCATGAGGTTGAAATCATCCCTGACATCTACCAAAGTCCCCAACCTGTGAAGTAAGACCTTTCTGGAAAGTTTTGGTATAAATATAGTATAAATATCATAACAATAAGACAACTGGGTTGCTTTTTAATGAAAATGTGGGCTCGTCCGGGATTTGAACCCGGGACCTCTCGCACCCTAAGCGAGAATCATACCCCTAGACCAACGAGCCACGTTCAGGAAATGAAATACAGCCTAGAATACTCAACCTCTCAATCACCTACATCTGGAGATTCTGTGATGTGGCAGAATGTGCACCGGTCAAACAGCGCCCTCCTGTGGCTTAATATGTATTGAATCTTCTCATTGAACATAAAATCCATGATGCTTTCTCTGGTTGCAGACATAGACTGGCCATAAACTGTAAATATTGCAGACACATTTGAGTCATAAACACAAACCGTCCCTAGTCAAGGCATACATCATTATTTATTAGCAAAAAACAATTTAGGCAAAAAAAATCTTCCCATCATTTATGTAACATACTAAACTAAACAAAATATAATAAACTAATTAAGCTGCTGTGACCAACTCTCTGCCCAAAATATAAATTAGTGACTCACAGAGCTCAAGCATGCAAAAGATATTATGTTTTATCAAAAAGATTTGAATGTCATCTCACCTCCGCTTATTGATAATACGAACTGTTGAATGTCTAATGTGTTTTAAGACTTTTAATGCATGTATTTCCTGTTACTTGCAATGACAATAACAATAACTCTGATTCTGATGAAGACCATGACGTGAAAGTAAAGTTCACAACATTTTACTTTTAAAAGATTCTTTGTGTTGGGACTAACAACATGGACTAACAAGAGAAAATAAGATATGGGAGAGTTCAGTTTCAGCATCTTCTGTCACCTTTTTATGAGAATGTCACTGTCCTTTGTCTTATTCACATGCATGGTAGATATCTTAACTGTCAGTGACTTTAACCTGTAGCCGCTAAACTACAAAAGATTATTCAGAGTGTATTCTACTCACAAATATTGTATTCAAATCATCAAATAAATATTTCACAAACATTCTTGCAAACAGAATGTATTATAGGACATGTGACGTCTCACTGTTAATCATAATTAGAATTCACTCATTTGCACAGAAGCCAGAATAAAGAGCAGAACACTTCACCTTTTTATTTCCTTTTGCAGCAGAATGATTCTGTGAACCTGAAATAAAATTTTACTGTTTTTGTGTCAAAGTTATGTTTCTAGTACAACAAAATGCAGGGCTCGTCCGGGATTTGAACCCGGGACCTCTCGCACCCTAAGCGAGAATCATACCCCTAGACCAACGAGCCGTACTTTCTGCAGAAAGCAGACAAACTTTAAATCCCCACCCATGTCACATCCAGGTCTGGGGTTTTAGGGATGCACTGGTGATGTGGCAGCCTTCAAACTGGTGAAACAGCGCCCTCTGCGTCTCACTGGTAGTAGTGTAGCACAGTCAGAGGGCTGGGAGGAAATTAGACTAGTTAGATTAGTTATTTAACTCAGTTTTCTAGTGAATTTTGTGAAATGTTGTGACTTTTGTGAAAAAAATAAAGAATTATGTTTTTGTTATAATAGTCATTCTCATTTGCATAAAAAACTGTCACTTAATTAAAACAGTGAGTTCGAGTTTTTATGCTGCACTAAAATTGATCGGATAAAAAAATTGCAAATTATCTTTCACGTATTTCTCTAATGGCATTTATCTGTTTTTGCAAAAGAACTTTTCCTACTGTATTCTCAGTACATGTCTTTAGTTACTCGCCAACAATAAGACACTTACAGTTGTTGCTAAAGTAACGGTGCCTGAACATTTCTTTGATTTCATTATTATTATTGTAATGACTGATATATATACTTTAGTGTGAAACTCTTTGAGACCATGGTGGCTGCGTACCGAAAGGACCTGAATCCCAAACAAGACTATGCATGTGGAGCGAGCAGAGTCTGCGATGGGCCCTGGACGATCTCTGAGCAAGACTGGGAGAGGAACAAAGCCAAGGTGAAAGATCATCAGCATTCAACTCACTTTGTTCCCCGGCCAAAATCATTCATCTTCTGTGCCTTTCTTTAGACTCTACGTCAGATCAGACTGAACGAGGTTTTACAAGATTACTCCAGAGAGGCAGCTCTAATCCTAATGTGAGTACAGAAAGACCGCAGTGGATTCATTTCTCTCTTTCTCAAATACAATTAGAAAGTGTTTGGCTTCACCATATCAACAAACTATGTGAAATGTGCATCTGTGTAAATAAACAGCTTATCTAATGATTGTACCTTGCAGCACTATGCCCGTGGGAAGGAGAGGCGTGTGTCCCAGCAGTCTCTATCTGGCCTGGCTGGACTTTATGTCACGGGATCTTCAACCTCCCGTACTTTTGGTCAGAGGAAACCAGGAGAATGTTCTTACTTTCTATTGCCAATAATGTAGCGTTCGTTAGCCTTGTGATTGCTATGATACCATAAATTAGGGGTGTCAAACTCATTTTGGTCACGGGCCGAATAAGAAAAATAGGAACTGAGTGGGGGCTGAAAGAAGAGAAGGGTAATAGTTTTTTACATAATGAAGGTATTTTGACATATATGGTACGGTATGTGACATTTTCTGAAAACAAAATGTGGTTATTGTTTAGATTAAACCAAAGCTGGATCAAATATAAAGCTAAACACATAGTTTTATATTGAAGTACTTAGCTTCTAATGATGTGTTTTGCGTTAACATTTTTACATGCCTTGGTAGCTCATTTCAGGGGCCACTAAACACGAGCCTGAGTTTGACATGTCTGCTATAAATACTAAATAATAAGTATTTAGTTAAATGATTCAGTATGATGGAATATAATGAATTCAAAATATTATTGCTTTTTATTTATTTACTTTTTGTGAGTTCAAAATGTAACAATACTATAATAAAGTATGAGGCTATAAATCCACTATCCATTGCTTGGCATCATTGTTGAGATGACTGGTGTTTTAAGGGACTTTGAACATTGAACTGAGACAGAAAACTTATGTAATGTTTTAAGAGGTTTCGGAGAATGAAACAGGCAGGTAAAGATTGAAACATTTTATATATTTTTTATGAACAGGACCTTGATTATGGTGACAATATGCAACTGCACGTTAACTTTCAACAAACCATTGTATTTGTACTGCACAATTCATTCACAAAGTCAACGTGCTATACTCGGAAAACAAATAACCCTGTAAATAAACTCACAACAGTCACACATATAGCTGAACAGAATTATTTCATCCAGGATTTGAAGCAATTAGAAGGTCCACAAAAGTTAACAACGCAATTTTGTTGCAATGAAAACAGCCCAAGAGAACCTGCTCAAAAGCACCTTCTGTATTAGGATATTTAAGCTAAACATTCATTCTGTATTTTTGATCAAATTAATCAAATTCATGGTTACCACTGAGGGTTGAGCTGCAAGTCAACCAGGGCCTTTGAGCCTGGAGTTTGTTCTGGCCACTGGGAAAATCCTCCATCTCTGAGAGTTCTGACTAAGCTGAGCATCAACCAGTCTGGAGATGGGTCCCAGTTGCTCTACTGCAATGACCACTGCTCCTGTCAGGTTCCCAGTGACTTTGAAGGATGGATCAAATGTAGAGCAACATTCATAATAAAGTCTAAGTTCAGATGTTGTAGTCTGCCAAGTGGAGATAAGATAATGTAAATTCCTTCCGAGGTGTAGACATGTTAGTTTGAGAACGCACAGAACAGAGCAGTGGAAATGATTGATTCGATGATGATTCGGTAAAACAAGACAGGAATTTAGAGCCTTCTCAGTGCTTGGATGCGAAGCCACTGGAAATACCAGTTACCACAATGACTGTTGTGTTGTTGTAAACTGTTGTTCTGCTCTTCGGCAAGACATTTCGACTACATTTCATATGATACTGATGCCTTTGACTGATTGGTGGTGAAAGGAGAAGCTGACTGGCAGCCTTGCTTTTGTCATTCAAATCCCCGAGCAGCTTTGGCCACCGCCGGAATGTAAAAAATGAATAAATAATGCAATGTTTTTAAGTGTTCAGAAAGTGCTGCCTTTGATATGATTACGTATTACAGGGTTTATTATTGGGTTATTATGATTATTATTGTATTTAATATGTAGATTCATATTTTAAAATTGACGCACCGAATTCTATCTTCTTAGCTGTATGCAGATTTTTTTTCTTTTTTATAAGAACCAATACTACAGAACAGTAGGTCTATTTCATGTCTATTTACATTGTACATTCAGAACTGATGCAACTTCTGTAACCATTTAGATTTCACTTGCAAACAAAATGAGAAGGAAGAGTCCCACTCCATGCAGCTGCTCGCGAATAATATAAACATCTTTATATCTTGACGCAAACAATCTATTTTATCAAGAAGATTGGAGTTGTAGAACACAATATTAAAAGTTTATCCACTCACAAACCACAATAGAACCCACCTTGTTTGAATATGACAGTACCGTAAACAAAAACAGCGTGGCGCCTCCTGTTCAATAGACGATCTGTGTGCCCCCCAGAAGTGGATTATCCAGGCGAGGCTCCACGTCCGAGCACGAGCGTGGCCCAGCCAATCAGCGCCTTCCACACTGTTTGGAAACAACCAGATACAACACACCACCTCCTACTTCTGCTCCAGGATCTGTGCCTCGAGTGCCATTTCCTCCTGATTATTTAGCATTTAAGCAATTTTTTTCTGTGAACTGAGCCGAAATCTTAGCGGATCGGCGACAGACACGAACAAACATGGAGGCGCCACCATCTCCAAGCGAGACCATTTCTATCGTCGTCAAATCACCGAACCAGCTTCAAGAAGACCAAACTATAAATGGCGTCAATGTCAACTGGACTGTAAAGGACTTGAAACTACACCTATCTGCTGTGTACCCTTCCAAACCGGTACGTGATTGTATTGACGTAAACGCAAAATGAAATCGAAAATGGACGCCATGCGAGAAGGGCTGTGTTCAGGAATGTCAAACACAAACCCAGTGCCATAACAGAAGACAAAGGGTGGTTACTGCATGTTACAGCGAATCTCCTCCATTTCTAACAGTGAAAGCAGATCTTACGTTGCAGATCATACAGTTTGGACGCAGGGTTTTGATAAATATTGTAGTTTCTTGACGCTTTGTTGTGCGTGACAGCTCTGTGCATCTGGCTGCTTTGACTGAGATCAGAGTACAGCTTAATGACAAGGGTCAGGTTCGCATGGGAGGCTGTAATTATTTAACTAAAGTCGTTCTTGATCATAGGCTGTGAAGAATCAGTCTTATTTGTTGCTGTGGGTATTATTTTAATGTATTGTTTCTTTTACAACTATAAATTACTTGCACTAGAATATACAGTACTTTATACTTGCTTCATATAATGCCAAAGATAGAAATGTTATGCTTGCTTCTTCTTCATGCTAGAGTTGGAGATTTTTATTTAGTATACAGAGTTAATTTTAATTTATTTTGTGCTGTGTGCCACTCATTCCTACTGTAACTGGTGATGCAACACTGACATTTCTCCGCTGTGGGACTAATAAACGATCTCTTAATCTGTTATGTTATAGGCCTACATGCTGTTAACGTGTGTGTTGTATATTTTCCTCAGGCGCTGAATGAACAGAGACTGATCTACTCTGGCAAACTGCTCCCTGACCACCTCCACATTAGAGACTTCTTCAGACAGGTACCCACATCTTTTCATTGGCAAAGTCTGTTGTTGTGAATGGTGCATCTGACCTTGTTTTTTATTGTCCATTGATATGGATTACAAAGATTACAAAGTGCAGTCTAATGTTTCATCCGTTTTCATTGTTTGTCGGACACTTCTCAAGGCTCATGTTGCAGATAACAGATCTGATAGAATAAAAGGGCCTCCTTAAATAATGGCTTACTTTGCATACAGGACAACTCATTCATTAAAGGAGAAAAGTGGTAAATCTGTCATGAAACAACCACTTTTCTCATTTGATGAAAAAATACAGCTTGGAATAAGACGAGAAATGTAATGTTAAACCAAAAGTTGTTCAAAACCTGTTTTCTATTTCTTTGCAGACTGATTTCGCTCTGACATTACACCTGGTGTGTGCAGTGAAGAGCACCCCACAGCCGACTATGGCTGCACATGTAAGCAATGATTTATATAGTTTTGTAAAAGTCCACGTACAGCTGGGTCAAACAGTGTAATAACAATTGTTTCTAAATCTCAAGAAGGTCTACAGGATTTCTCTTTGTTGTAACTTATTTATAAAGTATGTTTTAACAGAATGTCCCTGGAGCTTTTGAACAACAGGTGCATAGTTTCACATCATGCCCTATTTTCATCCAACCGTAGAAGACAGCGTTTTCACTTCACTTTTTAACTTTTAAATAAGTGCTTCAAATGAATATGAAAAAATGCATGTAAATTTCATCGACTCATTTATGTGCAATACAAAACATGATCTAAAACAGGATTTTTAAAATATTTTTTAAATAAACAAAAAGTAGTAGAAGTATAAGGTTGGCAAATATTTTTATTTCAGAGTATAGAGCCCGGGACCTCACACGCCTCACCTTCCGTAAGTGCCTCCACATCCGGGTCCCAGGATCAGACGGTCCCAGAGCTGAGACAGAGGAGAGCGCCTGTTCCTCCCACTGGAGCTCCAGAGTGGACCCAAATGTAAGTGTGTGAATGGAGCTTTGGAATCCAATCACCGTTCTTATGAGAAGTACAGTGGGAGAGTAGGGTCTGAGAGTGTTTGGGCCTGTGTCTTGTCTTGTGTGTGTGTGTATGTGTGTGTGTCTGGTTTTGTCGTGTCTTGTTGAAAGAGTGATAAGCGTTGTAGCCAAATATGCGTCCGCGTTGTCCAACACCTTTTCAAACAATGTATTTCTTTTCATTTTGTATCCTGTTTGTTTTGTGTTTAATGTTTTGATCATATTTGGTGATGTGATTAGACTTATTGTGTGCAAAAATCCATAGCTTTGAACACTTTTTACTGTTATTTCACAGTTTGTCTGTCCTTTTAGGCATGGTGGTCCAGCAATGACACCCCCATCATTCCCCACATACACTTTGTACAGCCCCCAGCAGCTTCTCTGGCTACAGCACGTCTATGCACGCCACTATTATATGCAATAGTAAGTGTATTTATATGATAACATTATTTTTTGATTTATTTATTTAACCTTTATTTAACCAGGAAACATTAAGAACCTCTTTTTCAAGGGAGTCCTGGACAAAATTACACAGTTCCATACAATTACAGATTATTATTTTGCAATTTCCCCTGACTGATGAGTCTTGTGAATCAATCTTTAACTCTTTAAATCTTCTGTATCCTCTGACAGTCATGCAGCATTGGCAGCAGCAAGCACCGGGCCTCAGCACCAAACCTCCGCCACCATCGCCCAGTACCCTCCGGTCCCAGCACCGCATCAAGTTCCTGTTCCTGTGCCCGCTCCTCTGGCCAATCAAAACCCGATCGACAACCTGCCAGCAAATCAGAACCCAGCTCCGGACGCGGCCTTCATCGATCCCGGCGTGGCCAATCAGAACATGCGGATGAACGCGCAGGGCGGACCCGTGATGGAGGACGAGGAGGACATTGAACGGGATTGGTTGGACTGGTTTTACTCGGCTGCCAGATTGGGGGTTCTGCTCATGATTGTTTACTTCAACTCTAACCTCAGCCGCTTCCTACTGGTCATGGGCATGTTGTTCTTCATGTACATGTGAGTCTGAACTATTCTTTTATTGTTAGACATTTATTTTATATGGAATGGAACACGCGTAAACATACACATCAACACACACAGACACACACTTTCTTTCCTTACTGCTGTCTGCTCTGGATATTTTCAATTTCAACAAAAATAAGATTTTCAGTGTTGCATAGTGTCCCCAGTTACAGAACAGTAGGAATGAGTAGCACGCAGCACAATATAAATGAAATATAACTCTATTCTAAATAAAATAAAATAAAACATCTTTAGCATGAAGAAGAAACAAGTATATAATCTCTCCGTTTAGCATAATGAGTTCAAAAAAACTTATTTTAGCATAATATAGAAGTATAAAATCTCTACCTTTGGCATAATAAGAAGCAAGTATAAAGAACTGTGTATTCTAGTGCACGTATAACAAATGCCACAGTGGGTGAGGGGGCTTCCATCATGTAGCAATCATATTTATGCCGTTGGTATGTCCCGCCAAGAGAACCCTTTGTTCTCTTAATCCTGTTCAAGACTGAGCCAAAAAATGTCATTCATAATACGGACCAGAACCCAGAATCCTTTTCTGTTGGAAGCTACTTTTGACCGCACACCAGGAGTTTTCACTGTTTGGATTATTTGTTAAATCTCCACGACAACACGAGAGATAGCACCACGACTGCTGGTGTGAGTCGCAGGAGTCCAGTGTGTAACGTGAGCTTCCAACTCTGCCTTAAATTGTAAATCATGAATAAAGGTGGACTGGCAGACATTAGAAGGAATTAAAATACAGCGAGGAAAGCCTGTATCATCTTCTATTTTTTTTTTTCAATAATTAAGATAAGAGGGTCTTCTTTATTTGTCCCACAGTGGGGAGATTTCAGTGTTGCATTGCAAGTTACAGAACAGCAGTAATGAGCACCACATTGCACAAGATAAATGAATAATAACTCTATATGAAAATAAAATGTAAAAAAAACTCTATAAAACTAACAAAACTCTATCTTAAGCATAATTGGAGAAGTCTAAAATCTCCAACTTTAGCATGACGAAAAACCCCTGACTTTAGCCAAATAAGGAGTAAGCAGAAAATGTTGTGTATTCGAGTGCAAGTCATTTCTAGTTGTGTGTATCTGTACATGTTAGCAGCATGAGGGTCTGGGACACAGTGACTCTGTAAATGTCACTTTGTCAATGTCATAATATTAGTTTTAATCTCGTGACTGTTTACATTTCACTGCTTCATGTTGTGTTCTTTTGAATAATATTAAGATAAGAAGTCCCGGAGCCCTTGAATACAAAATGCTCAAAAGTCTCTAAGCAGATGTTGGTTTTGCCTAAACTGTTGTGGCGGCTTTTTAAACGGTCAATAGTTGATCAAGTGACCGTCATGTGGCCCTGAGGGTAAATATTTCTCCGGGCCCCTATAAAGTTTGAGCTAGCACTGGATTTCACACTAGTGTAAAAACCTGTTGAACCAGTGCATGTTTTACAGCAAACAAAACCGGTGCACCAAGAACAAGATCAGGCAAAACATGCAAAAACAAGCATTACTGAATTACTTTCTCTTTTGTTTGTTTGGCTGTATGGCAAATGTATTTTTTAAGCACATCATCAACATGAGAGAAAACAGCCTGACCCTTTGGTTAAAGTGAGAAGAGGCCGTGTTTAAGTAGATTATGTTTTGTGTGAACTGCATAAATGTTATTACATATTACTTCCTGGAAATAATATCTTGGGACCTGTAAAAAGCTGTTGAGGAAGTGTCTGAAGCTCTTGTTATGGAGGGATCACATGTTGTGTTGTGTAAGTGCTGACGCTCAGAACATACACATTCCAGCGACACATGTCTCTCTCTCTCTGTTGATGTGCACAGAACCTCACAGCTTTGTGTGTGACTGTTACTCTCTGAATCACTGAACACGGAATGTCCAATTTGCCTCATTTAAATATTTGTTCTGTTTCCATTATAGGCACACTATGGGATGGTTTCCTTTCAGAAGGCGGGCGCTTCCAATCCAACCCCCCAACCCTCCTCAAGGACCCCAGAACCAGAACCCAGAACCTGTACGCACAAAACTAATTTGTATGTTGTATGACTTTGTCATTTAGACGTGTGTTGTTAATTACTTTGTATAAACTTTCCCAGGCTGCGGATGAGGTGGAGAGACCCGGTGATGATGTTTCTGAAGAGAACTCTGACGCTGCACCTGAGAGAGCGGTGCTGGTGCCGCCTCACCCCGTGTCCGCCGTGTGGACCGCCTGGGTCTTCTTAAAAACCTTCTTCTCTTCTCTCATCCCTGAAGTTCACCACGCTGCGGCTAACTGACCACCTCCTCTGTGGAACTAACGCTGACAAGTCTTACATAAAAGTGAATGGACTTTCTTTCTGGAGCCAAAGCAGCACAAAGTGCTGAGAGGACTGTGTACCTGAACATACCCGAGTACTCGGATACAAGTACTCCAGGCTGCATGTTACAGCCACTTCGAGCAGAAGTCATTGTTTATATTTGAGAATATTTTAAACTTTACTGTTAAACGGTTTTTGAAAGGACTGATTTTAAAGTTCCATAAAACATTGCGTTGTTTTACTATTTGATTTAAGAAAAAGCCTTATAACAGCGACCAAATGCAAAAAAGAAACGCTCTTCTGTTATAACATATTTTTTATTTGTGTCAATGTTTTAGATAAGTACACAAAGCACTTTATTTATGCAAGATGTTTCAGTTCTATTTCACTTCCAAATACTAATGTTGTAAATAATATATTGGTGCCAAAATGTCTGTAAATTTTGGTAATTTCCCTCAATGTTTTGGTTTCAAGCAAGATATTTCTTATGTGGTAAACAATTTGGTTTCTGTTGAAACTGACTGGGAAAATGAGCACACTGGTTCCAGTGATGGACTAATCTTTTCAACTGTTTAGTTTATGGGTGAATGACTGTTGTAAGTAATGCAATAAGAAAATAAACGTCCAATGTGACAAATGTAACACCATATATTTTGTCCTCTATTCTATTTACTACCCTATACTGTAATCACTATTGACAGTAAATATGTAACAGCGCTTCCCCTCAGAAGAGATCAATAATCTCAGAAGAGATCAATAATACTGAAACCCTTTGGAAACCAGATTACACCATATTATAATGTTATTGTCCAAAAACACAATGACCTGTTGGTTACAGGTGGAAGATCCAGTATAATACAAGTTCTTTATTAGTATAAGTGAGCCACACTGACATGTTTCTTTTTTAAGGCAAGAAATAATGTTTTGGGTTAAGCAAAAACAACAAATGGAGAATACAAAGAATGCCTTTATTCTCTGTGAGGAGCCCCAACCTCTAAGTGTCCTTTTACATACTCGCCCCCTGTGTTCTTATGTCCTAATGCTACAGCTCACTCACTAAAGCACATTCTCTGTCTGGGATTCAGGACACAGCACTGGTTTTGCGCTGCGCGCTTGAGTTGACCGATTCATGACGACAAAAGACGTAAATGTAATGGGACGTCATTTCTGAAAGTGAGGGTAGCCAGAGGTGAGATTATTACAACCTTTGTTTTGGCTATTTCGTTTGATCAAACTTTGATAAACAATTGAATAAGATTTGCCACCTTGTTCGGCAGGTCACATCACATCATGTGCTTTTGCCTTTGTTTTAACTTTCTCTGTTGTTTTGCACTTTGTCCAGTTTACATAGGGGAAGGCTTTGCTCTGTTCGAACAGTTCATTTGTCGCTGGCCAGAAGTTCTCACAGCTGGATAGTTCAGGGAGTGAAGAAGGACCCTGGCGAACACGGATGTTTTTGTCAAGTTAGAAATAGATATAAGATGTCTTGGTGGTGGCAATTTGTTCTGCTGGTGGTGTGTACCGGTGGGATGTCCCAAGAATGTATGCAGGAGCCAGCCCAGGTCTACAAATTCACAGGGGCTGCATGCCGCCTCACCTACCCCGCAGCGGTGGTCTGTAAGTCTGCTCTTTCTTTCTACAAAATGCTTTACTTTGTGTGAATGAGACTCTAGTGCTGACTTACTGAGGGATACTATCATGAAAAGCAGATTCATGAATGATGGAGGGGTATATCTGATAGAGATACTAAAATCCACCCTATGTCAGACTTGATCTGGAGGACAAAAAGAGATTGGATTCTGATTGGTTAACCAGCTTGAGAAGGGTTGGTTTAACAACTTCATCAAACTGTTACGGGCTAATGGTCCAGAAGACAAACAAATAACTCAAATCACACAAAACAACACCTATAATCACAGTAATAAGCCTAAGGAATGTTTATACCAAATCAATTTGAGCAATAAATAATGTTTAATGTACTTAGGGACAATGTAGGGTTTATGTTCTCTGACCGGATAATTTACAAGGATGATATGTAAATGTCATGTCATTTTCTACCCCTTTATTAATCCATTTCTGGGTTGGGGGTGTTGCAATCAGAGCTGCCACCCAGGTCTCATAGCACCAGTCCCTCGCTGATCCTCCTGCCGGTGGTGGGACCACGGCAAGATGGCTTCTCTGTCAACGACTAGATGGCCTTGGTCTTTCAGCTGGGGGTTTCAGGCACTGTGGGGTTAAGTGTCTTGCCCAGGGACACAACGACAGCAGACATCAGTGGGAGCAGGTGACATGGCTCGTGGTGGGCTCAAACCCACGACCATTGGGTCCAAAGACCAGTGCTCTACCGCCCCTGATGTGATATGATAAACATGTGCCGTCATTATAAGCCTTATGTTATAAGGCTTTTTATAAGCCTTATGTTATAAGGCTTTATAACATAAGGCTTATAAATAGAATAGAGGACAAAATATATGGTGTTACATTGGACGTTTATTTTCTTATTGCATTACTTACAACAGTCATTCACCCATAAACTAAACAGTTGAAAAGATTAGTCCATCACTGGAACCAGTGTGCTCATTTCCCCAGTCAGTTTCAACAGAAACCAAATTGTTTACCACATAAGAAATATCTCGCTATAGCGCACTTGAAACCAAAACATTGAGGGAAATTACCACAATTTACAGACATTTTGGCACCAATATATTATTTACAACATTAGTATTTGGAAGTGAAATAGAACTGAAACATCTTGCATAAATAAAGTGCTTTGTGTACTTATCTAAAACATTGACACAAATAAAAAATATGTTATAACAGAAGAGCGTTTCTTTGTTGCATTTGGTCGCTGTTATAAGGTTTTTTCTTAAATCAAATAGTCTCCAGAGGCCTGTTGCTAGATGCCGGTTTGGTTTGGGTTTTGGTGTGATTGTGATGATTTTATTTGACCATCAAGAGTGCTTTACATACGGCCTCTTTGAAGAAAAGTATTGTATTTTTCATGGTCTAGCTGGTCTGCCAGAAGTTTATGAAGTATGTAATGGACAGAAGAGATCCGCAAACTTTTTGTAATATAAACTTTTTTCTCTTTTTTTTATTTTTTATTTTTTACAGTGAATGAGAAAACCACTAAAGTGATAGAAGCTGCGTTCCAACACGCTAAATACCCGACTGTAAAGGGAGAGAAGGACCTGCTGTTTGGGAGCAAACTTGTCTACACACTGGAAAAGTGAGAACACACAATACAACACACCATCAACAATCACACACATTCTGTATTTGATGCTCTGATGTTTTCAGTTTGAATATCTTCAACCTGACGATTGGTCAGAGTGCGTTTGATCTGCGTCCAGGTGAAGGCATCTATCTGAACATCACAAACGTGTCTGTGGTGTTCAGAGGAACCCTGCAGTATTCATACAGAGGCCTGTGAGTCAAAGCTGTGATTCTAACAATGTGATGTCACACTTTACTAATGTCAATGCTTCTGTTTTATCAAGCATCTCATTCGGACAGTCACTGGACTTTGAAATGGAGTCTCGGGTTGACCTTGGGATTAACCCTAAACTGTGTAAGCATTCCCATTACTTTAAAATGATGTTACACGTTTGGAAATCTACAAGACAAGTTCATTTGTATCGCACAGTTCATATACAATACAACTCATAGTGCTTACTAAAAAGAAAGATGGAAACAAAGCATTATAAATACTCACAGTACATTAAGAATTAACAATCCCTCAGTTGTATGCACATCTAAACAGAACAGAAGCCTGTCCCACACTTTTAGGAAGACTGTTCCAGATTTTAGCTGCATATAATTGAAATGCTGCCTCCTCATGTTTAGTCCTGACTCTTTTCACCAGCAGGAGGCCAGTCCCTGTGCTCCTCAGAATCCCAGCAGGAGGCCAGTCCCTGTGCTCCCCAGAGTCCTCCTTGGTTCATATGGCACTAACATGTCACAGATGTACTTTAGTGCGGGGCCATGGAGAGACTTGTTACAAGCAGAGCTGCTCTAAAGTCTATTCTCTGTGCCACACGACTACAATAATTATTAAGAAGAGAAAATAATAATAAAAGAAGTGTAAAAGTTTTACATTTGGCAAAATAAGAGACAAGTATAAAGTACTGTGTGTTCGAGTGCAAGCAAAGTGTAGTTATACAGTATGTTATCATCTGTACATGTTAGCAGCAGTATGTTTACATCTGTACATTAGCAGCAGTATGTTTACATCTGTACATTAGCAGCAGTATGTTTACATCTGTACATTAGCAGCAGTATGTTTACATCTGTACATTAGCAGCAGTATGTTATCATCTGTACATGTTAGCAGCAGTATGTTATCATCTGTACATTAGCAGAAGTATGTTTACATCTGTACATTAGCAGCAGTATGTTTACATCTGTACATTTGCAGCAGTATGTTTACATCTGTACATTAGCAGCAGTATGTTTACATCTGTACATGTTAGCAGCAGTATGTTTACATCTGTACATTAGCAGCAGTATGTTTACATCTGTACATGTTAGCAGCAGTATGTTTACATCTGTACATTAGCAGCAGTATGTTTACATCTTTACATGTTAGCAGCAGTATGTTTACATCTGTACATGTTAGCAGCAGTATGTTTACATCTGTACATGTTAGCAGCAGTATGTTTACATCTGTACATTAGCAGCAGTATGTTTACATCTGTACATGTTAGCAGCAGTATGTTATATGTTTACATCTGTACATTAGCAGCAGTATGTTTACATCTGTACATTAGCAGCAGTATGTTTACATCTGTATATTAGCAGCAGTATGTTTACATCTGTACATGTTAGCAGCAGTATGTTTACATCTGTACATGTTAGCAGCAGTATGTTTACATCTGTACATTAGCAGCAGTATGTTTACATCTGTACATGTTAGCAGCAGTGTGTTTACATCTGTACATTAGCAGCAGTATGTTTACATCTGTACATTAGCAGCAGTATGTTTACATCTGTACATTAGCAGCAGTATGTTTACATCTGTACATGTTAGCAGCAGTATGTTTACATCTGTACATTAGCAGCAGTATGTTTACATCTGTACATGTTAGCAGCAGTATGTTTACATCTGTACATGTTAGCAGCAGTATGTTTACATCTGTACATTAGCAGCAGTATGTTTACATCTGTACATGTTAGCAGCAGTATGTTTACATCTGTACATGTTAGCAGCAGTATGTTTACATCTGTACATGTTAGCAGCAGTATGTTTACATCTGTACATTAGCAGCAGTATGTTTACATCTGTACATTAGCAGCAGTATGTTTACATCTGTACATGTTAGCAGCAGTATGTTTACATCTGTACATGTTAGCAGCAGTATGTTTACATCTGTACATGTTAGCAGCAGTATGTTTACATCTGTACATTAGCAGCAGTATGTTTACATCTGTACATTAGCAGCAGTATGTTTACATCTGTACATTAGCAGCAGTATGTTTACATCTGTATATTAGCAGCAGTATGTTTACATCTGTACATGTTAGCAGCAGTATGTTTACATCTGTACATGTTAGCAGCAGTATGTTTACATCTGTACATTAGCAGCAGTATGTTTACATCTGTACATTAGCAGCAGTATGTTTACATCTGTACATGTTAGCAGCAGTATGTTTACATCTGTACATTAGCAGCAGTATGTTTACATCTGTACATGTTAGCAGCAGTATGTTTACATCTGTACATTAGCAGCAGTATGTTTACATCTGTACATGTTAGCAGCAGTGTGTTTACATCTGTACATTAGCAGCAGTATGTTTACATCTGTACATTAGCAACAGTATGTTTACATCTGTACATTAGCAGCAGTATGTTTACATCTGTACATGTTAGCAGCAGTATGTTTACATCTGTACATTAGCAGCAGTATGTTTACATCTGTACATTAGCAGCAGTATGTTTACATCTGTACATTAGCAGCAGTATGTTTACATCTGTACATTAGCAGCAGTATGTTTACATCTGTACATTAGCAGCAGTATGTTTACATCTGTACATGTTAGCAGCAGTATGTTTACATCTGTACATGTTAGCAGCAGTATGTTTACATCTGTACATTAGCAGCAGTATGTTTACATCTGTACATTAGCAGCAGTATGTTTACATCTGTACATTAGCAGCAGTATGTTTACATCTGTACATGTTAGCAGCAGTATGTTTACATCTGTACATGTTAGCAGCAGTATGTTTACATCTGTACATTAGCAGCAGTATGTTTACATCTGTACATTAGCAGCAGTATGTTTACATCTGTACATTAGCAGCAGTATGTTTACATCTGTACATTAGCAGCAGTATGTTTACATCTGTATATTAGCAGCAGTATGTTTACATCTGTACATGTTAGCAGCAGTATGTTTACATCTGTACATTAGCAGCAGTATGTTTACATCTGTACATTAGCAGCAGTATGTTTACATCTGTACATGTTAGCAGCAGTATGTTTACATCTGTACATTAGCAGCATGAGGCTCTGGGACACAGGGACTCAGTAAAGTGACAGTGACATGGTGACAGTGGTTATTGCACATTCTGATATAAGATAAGGATATTGCAACGATGCATGACACGTGGGATCAAGTTGGCAGTGTTATTGTTAAATAAGTAGTCCTTGTTGTTTGTTGTACAGTCTGACAGCAGCAGGAAGGAAAGATCTGCGGAACCTCTCCTTCACACATTGAGGATGAATTATACAATTTAAAATTCAGTTCAAGTAACTTGTGTATTTATTTCTAGATTGCAGTAAAGGTAAAGTGGCAGCTGACACGTCGGACTGTTTCCTGAAATTCCAGAAGTTGGAGCTGTTGCTGCAGGGCGACAGAGAGTAGGCCATTCTCCGCTTTTCACATGACTCACAAATCTACTGCAAAATATGAGGAACGGACAAGACTTATACTCGCATTGTCTTTCATAAGAAAATGTTACATAATCCAATACTTCACAAGCTACCAAACTTCGGAGACTTAAAATTAATCTTTAGACAACATTGTTATTTACCTTTAGTTAAGATAAACGTATTTAGACACATTTCTCCAATAAGTTGCAAAATAATTGGAATAGCATGACAGAAATTCATATTGTAAGCCTTATTCCAGGGCAGGTGTGGCTACAGAATAGTTTACCACCACTATGTAATGAGTGAATGAACCTTGAGTCCGTAATAAAGTTGAATTGAATTGAATATACCATGTAAAGTAATCCAGAAAAGCATTATACAAAACAAACCAATGCATGATATTTGTTATGTTCAAATACATAACCTAATCTTTCCTCCTTTAATGTATCACAGACCAAACTGGCTCAAGAAACTCTTCACAAACATCCTCACTTTTACTCTGAAAGTAGCTGTCAGGGGCCAGGTGAGATTTCTATTGTAAAGTCCCAATCAATCAGTGAATGGACGGATAACACAAATTTCATATGTGACTTTTTTTCCATGTAGATTTGTCAGGAGATCAACAAGGTAGCGAACATACTTGCAGACTTCATCCAGGACACAGCAGGTCGGTGCCGGTCCTCCCTGGATTCTTTATGACCTGATTTGACAGTTCATACTTTTGGTTTTTGCAGCGAACTTCCTGAGTGATGGAGACATTAGTGTGGACATCGGTGTGACTGGGACTCCAGTTATCACCGCCAACTATGTGGAATCATATCATAAGGTTCAACACTCACAACTATGTATTATTATATTCTGTTAGTCTTATTCAAGGTGTCATTTACTTTTTTTTTAGGGCTTCACAAAATATAAGAACACCACAACTGCCATAGAAGAGTCTAATTTTAACCCTCGTCATCTGACAGAGCATCGGATGTTGTACTTCTGGTTGTCAGGTGTGTGGCTCTGGACTTAACCTCTTCACTGGTCTCACTGCTGTAAGTGTTGTGTGTTTTTCAGATCAGCTTTTCAACTCAATCCTCTCTGCTGCACATGAAGATGGCCGTTTCCAACTCAACATCTCAGGATCAGAGCTAACAGTGTGTGATCACATTACTCTAAGAAAATATGGGATACATATACATTTGATTTCTTGTGAATTTCAGGAACTTTTCAAGACAACTCCGACCGAGGCCATACCTGGGTTTATGCGGGAGGTAATGCAGCAACTTTACAAACCCAACTTACTTTCAGATGTTTTATAAATACCCTGATCAAGTCACATCTAGAGTAATGTCTGGTGTGTGTGTGTGTGTGAGAGCAGTGCATCACGGGGTCCAGTGTTGCAGGGCTCAGACTGAAGTCAGAGAGTGTCTTCCTGAACACCTCCCAGGGCTTCGGGACCACGGTGTGGGCAGGGGCCTCAGGACAGCTCTACTGCGGAGGGTCTCCCACTCCACTGATGCTCTTCTCCCCGGTCAGTTTCATAAAACACAACCACACGTAGGCAATGAAAGAAACGTAAAGTGTTTGTGGTGAGATGTGGTACATGGAGTGAATCCATGTGATATCACACATTCTTCCCCACAGAGCGTGGAGGTTGAGGTCCGTGCATCCTACGCTGATAAGAAACTCTCCTTGCATTACAAACCTACCAAGTAAGTTTAAAAATCCAACAACAATTATTTCACTTTTCATAAATCTTATACTTGTGTCATAAAAAAAGAACTTTTACTCTTTAGAGTGTCTGCTTATCCAGATTCAGTTCAGTTACTTGAAATGACGGTATGTTCCTTTAAACACATCAAAATTCCAGTTGGACATGGTTTTAAATGCAGGCTATGAACTTTAGGTGGAAGAATATGACAAGACAGTCACATTTCTCACAAGTGCAGTGGAGAAAATCGGTTTGCCTCTGGTCATATCTGGTGAGAGATTGAAAACACTGTGTCTCAGCGAAACAGAGATTTGGTTTAATCCTCCTAACTCTTGTGTAGTTCTTGAGACAGAGATTACCCGACTGCTTGACAAACAAGGGACCAATTTATTTGATATCTCCAACAGTGAAGTGATCCCTCAAGATGTAAGAAACTCACATTGTAAACATGTTTTTGGTTGATTGGTCACATTCCCGCTTCCGTTTGGCCCTTTGTGTGCAGGGCTATGTGGTCATCCAGATGGACTTTGGCTTTCCACATCATCTTCTTGTCGAGTTCCTCCGTAAAACTCTGGTCTAGATAAGCGGAGAGTGAGGGAGGGTTTTGTTCTGTGTTTATCAATATGACCAGTGCCCAGTGTCTCTGAGGGGGCGTGGCCAACCAGCAGACACAATATGGTGAAGGGACACATGGTAGCTGTCTATGTGTATGAAGCTAACTATTTATGGATAGATGAATAAATGCTATGGAATATAAATGTCTATGCGTCGGTGTATCTATATATTTGTAGAATGAAAAGTGAAGTAATGTAAAATCACTAAATCCTTGCCTTGAGTCCTGTAGTTTTGTCCTCTGCTCACTGATCCACTCTAATTATAAGTGTTAACAAAGCGCTGCACTGTCCCTCATCCACAACTGAGACACATTTAACTATAAAAAATTGATTTGATGATACAGTATTTCTGTTCTTTTATCAGTTGGCTGACAAGAACTGTATACAAATATGAATTTATTTTTGTGGACCTATTTAATTTGTCTGAAATAAAGATTGATAATAATAAAGATAATATACTTTGTGCACAACTTTCAGTGTGTGTGTGTGTGTTTTATTCTTAACAAAAAAGGAATAGTAAGGAATATGTAGAATTCCATAATTGTACCCACCTATTTAACCCTTTTAACTTAAACTGTCACACCTCAAAGCCTATTTCCCAGTCATCAAACCACATTTTAAACCAATTTTACTCCTCCTTCATCCGAGTTTCGATAATAGTCTAAATAGTCTCTTCGTGTCTATTTCCTGAAACCTAGAACCGAGGGATTACATTTTATAATTCATTTAAAAATCCATGAAAGAGCATAAAAAGCAGCCGCTAGATGTCGCCCTGGCTGCATTAACTGCGCACCGTGGAATCTGCTATGCTTGGTAGTGGAATCATTACTTTTTAGAAAACAGATAATGAATGTATTGATACATAAATATAACATCTGCAAACTCACAATTATAACGATCAATATCTCATGCACACGTTGAAAGCTATCCCCTAATATAATTTCTTACATACAGTTACTAAATGGTGAGTAGTGGGACTCATGGGACCAGTCCTTATTTACCATCAAACGCCCGTGGCAGGTGGTCAGCTGAGTGTAAACAAGGCCAGTCCCGCCTGGTCCAGTCCTGCTTTTGTCTGACTATTAAAATTCCTTTGCTCTGCATTCTTCCCTCCTGGTGCTGTTTTTGTGCCAGGAGCCATAAAGGCATCTCCCATGTCCACCCAACGAGCCACTTATCAAAACTCTTTTACTTTCTCATGTATTGCAATGTGGTTTTACTGCAAATAGCACCTAAAGTGAATCTGAATCTGAAAACAGTGAATCCCATTATTCTGGACCCAATGTCACAGTATTGGCATTATGACGTGGAGAAGGCATGCGTAAATAGAACTAGCAGTCAAATTGACGGGTTTTTAGTCTTGGAAGTGTAATTACTCAGCTTGTGTACATTTTTGGTCTTCATAACTTTGTGACTTTTTCCTGTTTCGATGTTTAGTATGTTTCTGTTGCTATTACTGTGAAATTATATATATACGTGAGAAGGTCTACTTCTACGTCATGGTGCTACGTCCCTTAGCGGACTTCGCTAGTGGGATATCACGTGACCCCCAGGTCACACGCCAGAGAGATCAAAATAATTTGCTCCAATCACTAGCGACCCTCCTCTATAAAGGCCCCTGCACAAGGCCGCACCCCCTCTTTCACTCTGGCGCCGATTGAGATCTTACCTTTCTACATCGTACTTCATGTCAGAGATGTCTACCCCGACTGCACGTCCGAGTTCCCCTTCGCCCTCCGGTGTCGGACGTCGTCGGTGCTCCACCTGTCGGGTCAAGCTTCACCGCACGGATCAGCATGCCAGCTACTTCACGTGCATGGGCTTGGGCCATGCGGCTAAGAGCGCTAGCTGCGCCTTGTGTCTCGCTCTCCCCAGGGAGGAGAGCGAACGCAGGCGAGCGAACGCAGGCGAGCGTTCTACGCCGCTACGATGCCCCCTCCGGACTCTTCTAAGGACGAAGGGTCCGAGATTGACTGGGCCCCACTCGACCTTCCTCCTGTGCCCGCGGAATGGGGAGACTGCGAGGTTGGAGACTCGGAGGACGGCTCGCTCATCACCCTGGACGAGGTGGTTTCCAACCCGGAGCCGGACCGCTTCCCGCTGGACCACATGCCGGGTCTCTACTCGTCCGCGGCGGCCATCATGGGGGCCCCCCTGCCACCACAGCCAGACCAAGCGGTGGTGGACTTCACCTCCGTTGGCCCCGCACCTCGAGGGAGGAGGAGGAAGCAGCCCACACTGTGCCCGCAAATGGAGCCGATCCTCCATTACGCAACGCGTGAGTGGTCCAAACCTCTGGCAGCCAAGAGGCCTGCCTTGGGTTATGGGATGTACTGCAACGTGCAGGACTGGTCCTGGACCGGTGGCGTCCCGGAGATCGAGGACTCTGTCCGCATGGCCCTGCTCCCCTCCTCATCTGTGTGGCCCGGCACCAGACCTCTCCTTCCCTCCGAGCGGGATAGGATGTCTGTGGCACTGCTGGATAGGTGTTACGCCAATGCGGCTCAGGTCGTCGCGTTGGCGAACAACATGGCATTCCTCACGGGGGCGCTGGATAGGATCGCTCTCCGCTGGCCAGTCACTCAGCGGGGACCATCTTTCGGAGGCGAGGACCACCTCCGCGGCGCTCCTGCGCATGAGCCAGGCGCTTGCCGTGGATGGTGGACCCAGCATGGCGGCAGCCCAAGTCGGGGTCAGGCACCTTTGGCTTGGGCTAGCTAACATCAGGGAAGCGGAGAAGAGGCAACTGCTGGACCTGCCCGTCTCCCAAGATTCCCTGTTTGGCCCGGACATGCAGGCCCTGGTGGAGAGACTCGAGTCTGCGGCGAAGGATTCGGCGAGGCTAGTTCCGCACCTAGCTCCGAGGCGCGAGGCCCACCAGTCGTCTCGGAGCAGAGACAGAGGCAGAGAGCGCTCGCCCGGGAGGCGCTCCGATCCCTATCCTCGCTCCGCCACTCACCGTCTCCCCTCGACGAGACCCCCGGGCCCGGACAGACCCACGGGATGCTCGCGGGAGCAACGTGCCCACCGCCGGCCTCCCTATGGTAGAGGAGGCCTGGGTGGCAAGAATGTTTTCAATAAAGGCCGTCCGGCATTTCACCAGTACTCGTTGTCTGAGTCTCATTTGGGGGTATGTAACATTTTTAAGGATGTATCTGATTGTGTTATTTCCCGGGCACATAACGTGGCCTCGCTAGGCCTGCAGCCCCCTGAGCAGGGCGTATAGTGCGCTACGCGGGCTACGAGCTCCGGTTCTCTAATCCATGCTATGCCCTCCCAGAGAGAGGTCAAGCGGAGAGTGTTGGTGAGTAGAGGTGTGTGTACTTCAGCTAAACACGTGCTAGCCCCTCCTAGCTACGAGGCTAGACGTCTCGTGTTCCAGTTCCCGTTCCGCCCCTCGTAGATTTCTACAACATCTGGAGGGAGCAGGGATTACCGTCAGACCCGTGGTTGGAGAAAACCATGCGCAGAGGCTACGCACTGCAATTCTCCCGGAAACCACCACCATTCCGAGGCGTACGGGCAGCACGCTCTCAGGTACGGGGGTCATTAGTGGCACTGCAAGCGGAGGTCTCCTCTCTGCTGAGTCGAGGCGCAGCAGTGGAGGTAGACCCACAGGACGCCGCCAGGGGGTTGTACTCCCCTTACTTCTTGGTGCCAAAGAAGTCAGGCGGAGTGCGTCCCATTTTGGATCTGCGTGTTCTGAACGAGTGCATTTCCAAGCGTCAGTTTCGAATGCTGTCCACAAAGCAGCTCCTACAGTGTGTCAGGCAGGGAGACTGGATGTGCTCCATAGACCTGACGGACGCTTATTTTCACGTGGCGATAGTTCCGGAACACAGGAAGTTCCTACGATTCGCAGTGGGAGAAAGGAGCTACGAATACTGCCGTCTCCCATTCGGCTACGCGCTCGCGCCTCGGGCGTTCTCCAAGTGCGTGGAGGCAGCACTGGAGCCACTCAGACGCGCGGGGTATAAGGATTTTAACCTATATAGACAATTGGTTAATACTGGCCTCCTCCAGAGAAGTGGCTGTGAGTCACACACACTGGGTCCTGTCCCACATACAGCGTCTGGGGTTTGTGGTGAACAGAGAGAAGAGCAGGCTGCAGTCGGCTCAGCGCTTGATTTATCTCGGCCTGCAGCTGGACTCGGTGAGGTTCAGTGCTGCATTGTCCGAGGACAGACGGAGGAGCATCACCCGTCTGGCAAAGGAGGTGCTGGCGGGTCCCCGCGCAGCGCCTCAGATCCCTTCTGGGGATGATGGCGGCGGCTCATACTGTGGTACGGTTAGGCCTCCTCCACATGAGAATGTTTCAGAGATGGTTCTCACGTCTCAAGCTTCACCCCTCACGGGACGGGGGGAGGCTGATCTGGGTTCCCCAAACTGCAGCACCGGACATCAGGTTTTGGCTCACTCCGGGTCTGCTGCGGACCGGGGTGTCTCTGGTCAGCGCCGTGTCTCACGTGGAGGTGTTCACGGACGCGTCACTCAAAGGGTGGGGCGGGGTCCTCGGTCAGAGCTATGTAGGAGGCTGCTGGTCGGACTCAGCCCGCCACATCAACCTTCTGGAGATGGAGGCAGTGCACAGGGTGCTGCTGCACTTTGCCCCACAGCTGCAGGGGAGAAATGTGATGGTTCGCTCAGACAACACCACAGTGGTGTCTTATCTGAACAGACAGGGAGGCACCAGATCCCCCGCTCTCCATCGCATGGCGACGGTGATTCTGCTATGGGCAGAACTTCACCTCCTGTCCCTAAGAGCACGCCACGTCCCGGGTGCCCGGAACGTGGGGGCCGAAAGGATGTCCAGGGGGGGCCCACGCCAGGACGAGTGGGGCCTGGCCCCGCGGATATCTGCAGAGATCTGGCGGAGGTTCGGCTGTCCAGCGGTCGACCTTTTCGCCAGTACAGAGAACGCACAGTGCCAGTCCTGGTACGCCTTAAGGGCCGCGGACGAGCCGCC